ATAAGGCCCAGCGGTGTGACTAGAAATTCAGTCGGAGTGCAAAGCGCGCACAACTTGTCAAGTATGTGGTCTTTATAAGCGATTGGGCTTGGCCGTTTGTCATAACTCGCGAAATTGGCGACGCATTTCAAGTAACGGTACGAGGGGTCAGCTTTTGACGAAATTGACCCCCCCCCCCTGGTCACTTTAGACTTTTCGTCCACTTTACCGGTAACGTACCGTTACCACGTCCGAACCGACCACTTTTTCCAAAAAGTTTCAACGTAACGTAGCATGTGAACTGGCTATAATGTAATGTAATGTAATGTAATGTAATGTAACAGAGTGGGAGGCTTCTGGGCCGCTTTATCACATTGTCAGTTCTACGATTTATCACCTTATAGCACCATCCACCACTACCACACTGTCTTCGCCATACGAACTGTAAGTCCAAGGCGGCGGATCCAGCCTTCAGGGACCCCTCCTCATCCATTCACCCGAACATCCGAAGAGACGGAGGGTTCGGCAATCGCCACCAATCCAGTGTGCGAATCTGGTCCATCAACTGTGACCTCAACTCCACATCTCAGCAGTTAGCCATAATCTCGCGCTCCCGACTTTTTCGGGGGTCTCCCCAGGAATCGAACCCAGGACCTTAAACAGCTAATTACAGTAGTGTCAACCCAGACCAGACCAGACCAGACCCACTATTATACACGCGTCAGATGTCAGTGAAGGAGACAGCGAATCTACGACGATTATTATTATTATTATTATTATTATTATCATTATTATTATTATCATTATTATTATTATTATTATTATCATGTGTGTGTGCCTGTGATGTGTGCGCGAGAGGGAAAGCCACATACACTACAACGACGTGCGCGGCAGAAAAAGCTATACACATCTCTCCGACAAAAACGCGCTGCCTGCAGGCTCTTTTTGCCTATTATGTTCTTAAAAACCCCGACCATAACACTTACCGATGGCTTTACACACGGCGGATGTCGGGTAGGCGGACTGCCTAAACCCTAAGCACTAGCATGAGCACTGGCGCTGGCGCTTGGCTGATCCTAGCCATGTCTCTGCTTTTCACCTGCGGGCTGGGGGGGGGGATGAAAATAAAAAACAATTAGGGCGACGGCACATTTTTCATAAGTTTCTATCTTATGAAAAGTGTGGGGGCAGCAGGTGTGATGAGCAAAAATTTCCTGTTTTTAAAATATGTGTACACAGCAGATAGATAATGTGGGAGGGCTGTGGGTACGCCCCCACCCCCACCCCCACCCCCACCCTCTTCATCTTTTCCCCCGAAGGCCACGCCCAAAAAACATATCGCCACACACCTATGCCCCAATTCCCGGACGCTTTCTAAACCTTTCTATGTGCCATTACCTTCAGATAGGATGCCTGTCCACCGTTTTTCAGTGACCCCCAAGCGCCTGTAGAGACTACGATGCACGGCGGCTGCACTAGAATACAAACTCGATCTCTTATGCGCGGCGCTGGACTGCTAATAAGCTGTATAATCTCTATATATATAGCAGCTGTGAGAGTCCCAGGGCTAATAAAAGGAATTGCGTGCGCGGTTTGCCCGATGAAGGCGGCGGTGAAATCCGATGCAAATGTACACTTGTTTGCATATGATTACGTATTTTACCTGTTTATTTATGCATTTATGCAATTATGCATTTCTTGTGTGAATGTTTTGTCACACGGGTATTATGTGCTTTGTCATTCGTGGACAGGCTTATCTTTTGAGGGCCTCCTGCAGGAGAGGTTAAACTTAGGGTTTAAACCCTGAGAGCACAACTTACTTCACTCACTGCCTATCCGTGGATCAGCTGACCCTCGACGGCGGCGGCTGGTCTTTGCCTGCTCTGCACCAGCCTCAGCTGGGGGTGGTTCCTTTCGCTTCCTACAGCCAGCTGATTGTCGGCTTCCTGCCGGCTTCCTGCCACGGGGATTCTTTCGTTCCACCACCTCTCCCTCCTCCGTAGTGGGGTTCTCACCCATCTCTGCAGCTGTCCCGTCACCCTCATCACTGGTCGGCGGGTTGGCGGGGTTCTGCTGCTCTTGCTGTCGTGGAACTTGGACAGGGGCTACCTCTTCGGCACCAGCTGGTGTTTCGGCGGCAGCTGCATTGCCGCCCTGCTCTGTGTCTGCAAATCATGATCACATTGTAGAGATCAAAATCGTGCTTACAAGAGTGTAAAACCGCTGTGAATGTCCCGCACACTATGAGTCTTTCCATCCATCCAGTCAACCCTCCTCCCAGCCCATCCCAGAAA